TGCTGGGGAAGATGAACCAGGAAAGCCTTATAAATATGATTGTCTGGCAAAAGATTTTGAGAATATGGAAACTATAAGTGAGATTGAAATGAAAGCAAGCTTTGAGATCCCTCAGTTCCTGAACAACTGGAAAACAATGGCATGGCCAGCTGAAGGTGATCCCCTTTTGATCAAACAATCCCCTCTGCTTGCAGACAGGCCCAAGGCTCAGAGCAGACCCTGCCAGCTTGGCAGAAGGGGCCCAAAGAGGAGTTTGTAGGGTTTAAAATGTAACCCAGTGTGGTAATGGAATGATTCTTATAGGCTGTATGGAAATGCTGTAGGATTTGTATCTTGGACTAGATTGGTTAGTGAGAATCAGAATATTCAGCACTGGAGAAGATTTATGGTGTTGTAACGGGAACTTCACTCTCTCATTTCCTCTTTACCACACTCTTGCCTCTCTCTCTTTCCCTCTCTCTCCCTCTCTCAGGCCTGCTCTGAGCTGTGGCTGGAAGCTCCCAGCAGGGCCCTGCACCCAGGCCCTTTGCAATAAACCCCAAGTTCCCAGCCCTGGCTGCAGAGATCTCTGCTCTCCATCTGTCCTGACCATCCTGCCCCTGACACTCCTACAGCTCCCCTACTCCTTCTCTAGGGGATGGGATGGTGACATGCTCCTGGGCTGTTCTACTGCAAAGAAGAAACCCTGCAATGCCCTCAGAGCAGCACAGGGAACCCTCTGAGGCACCAGCCTGTGGCTGGTGGGACCCTGTGAGACCATGTCTGGGATGGGCTGTTTGGGTCCACTCTACAACAGGACCCTTCAAGGCTGAGCCCAGCAGGGGCTCTGTCACTGGCTTGAGCAATGTTTCAAACAGATCATTTATTTTCATTAGACTTGTACCAATATCTCTGTCCCAGTGTTCCTGATGCAGGTCGACAGCAGTCCTCAGGAATGCTTTAATTGTGTTTTCCTGGCTTTGCACAGCTCTTATCTAATGCCTTCTGGCTTCATTAGATTAGACACCTCTTGTCCCGAGGATGTTGTCATGTTTTCAAATGGCTTCAATCAGCACCTCCCAGGCTCTGGCTATTTCAGGATACAATAAAGCTGAACCTCATCCAGGCTGGTGAGTAATGGAGGTGCATCTCCCACCCCCGTGCAGCCTGGCTTTAAATTTGCCTGCCTGACATCCTGTAGCTGCAGGCAGAACACAATTAAACCTCTTGTCTTTCAGGCATTGTCCACGCTCACACACAGCTCAGGAGGAAGAGCACAGCAACAGCAACCGAGTTTCTAATGATCTTGTCATCCAGAACAGCAGAGAGAGATAAATGAAAGAGTGAGGAAGCAGCCAAGATCAAAGGCAGCTCTCCAGATGTCCAGGGCATGGCAGGTTGCAGGCTGGCTGTGCTCATCTCCTCAGAGCCACGCTGGCACAGGGTACAGGGACGTGTCCTCAGTGCCAGGGAGGGAAACGCAGAGGGAGCAGCCTAAGCCCACCCAGCACCAGTGCTGGGGGCTTCTCTCCAGGTTTGACTGCTCACAAACCTCATTCTGCAGGAGCCTTCACCAGCCTGTGTCCCCACCACCCAGCTGCAAAGTGCCCACAGGCTCAGGAAGGAAACCGAGGTGGGAAGGGACAAACCGGACCCCAGGCTGGGGGCATGTCGGGTCCGTCTGTCTGTCTGTCTGTCTGTCTCTGCCCCACACGGGTAGGGCGGTTCTTGGGTGGCGCGCGTTTCAAAGGACGAGTCTGGACTCTTCAGCTTTTCCATCTTCAGATTGTTTATTGTTTCTTATCTACAAAATTTTCTGTCTGCCCAACAGAGGTCTGATCTGCAAGGCAGCCAAGGGCACTCGTGACTACCCACGGGGCGGTCGTGTCTTTTTATACTAAAATCTACGTACATGATATTTACTTTTATTTTCTAATACTTTTTACCTATGTTGGCAAGTACACTTTCACCACAAACTAATCTCTAAGTGCCAACATCACTACAGAAGATGGAAGACAAGAAGAAAAAAGGACGAGACACGCCCTGATCTCTCTATCTTGTCTCTATAACTTCCTTGTACTAAAAACTTTAAAGTTTATATTTCACTTTCTAAATGTGTCTCTTTTACACTTTTCACTCTAAAGTGATTTTCAAGTCTTCAAACTGCTGTCACTTCTGTGGATGGGTCAAAATCAAGCTACCAAGCACTCTTGGCAACATTCTAGGATTTCTGAGACTCTCAAGGGTTCTCTTGGCATCTCTGGACATCGGGAGCGATGTGCTGAGTTCTCACAGGGGCAGAGACCCCCAGGTGCACTCTGGGGGGGGCTGATGGCTCCAGGACAGTCCCTGCACTGTGTGTGTCCCTCATGGAGCCCAGCACACCAGTCCCTAGCACAGCAATCCCAGGCACTCTCCCCTGGCAGGAGAATTTCCTCAGCCCTATCTTCTTATCATGAGCCACCACAATGCCAGCATCGATCCCCTTCACCCCACAGGCAGTATTTTGACTTCTGGAATTCATCTTAACCTAGCAAGGGACTCTAAATATATCCCAGACAATTTCCTCTCCTCATTTTTAATAATCTCTTTCAACCTTAAATTCATTTTTGAAAATATGTATTGGGATGATGGGCTTTTTATCACAGCTGATGGACAATATTCATCACACCTGTGTCCTACTCCTCACAACACACACACACACACATTCCTTACAGCACTCCTGCATCAATTTGAACAGCACTTAATTCATTACAGCCCCATCACTGCCTGTGCCTGCTCCCCTCAACAATGGCACTGGTGATTTGTCACTTGGGTCCCTGTAGGCAGCTCTGTCCCACCTTGCAGAGCCACTGTCACTCCCTGAGCCATGGGACAGGGTGGAATGGCCCCGTTCAAGCACAGCAGGTGTAAAGGGTGCTTGTGCAAACCCAGGGCACTGGGGATATTTCCCTGTCTGCTCTGGGGTGCTTTGATTTCTAGGGGAGCACTGACTTTGACCCTCATTCATGGAGAAAGTTTCCTAAACTCCAGAATAGACCAGAATGCACTAGGGTGTGAAATAGATTATAGAGAGTAGTGTAGATTTATCACTTAGGTGGGAAATTTCGGTTTTAGGATTTTTAGTATGTTGTAGATGGAAGCAAAAACCTGAAGATCAAAAAGAGCCAGTGTGTCTCTCTTTCCTGACACAAAATCACTCCAGGAGTGTTTTTTCCCCCTGGGAGGGCACAGCCAGAATCCCAGAAGTTGAGGAATCAGCAACAGGAACCCAACAGGTGCTTCACTGTCCCCACCCTGGAAACCTGCAGGTGGCAGGTGGGAGAGCAGAAGCAAAAAACCCTTTTCTGTCCAGGATCTCTTGTCTCACTGGGCACAGCAGGGCTGGGGACACGTGCTGGGGCTGTGCTGGCACATCCTCCCAACCCTGAGCCCTGGGGACAGCACCAGTGGTGCCTCTCTGGGCCCCCAACTCAGTCAGGGTCCCCAGGACAGCAGCTCCTTTAGAAAAACTCCTCCAGCAAATTCCCATTTTGCTAGAAATTGGGCAGGACCAATGGTGTCTCTCTGGGCCCCCAGCTCAGTCAGCTAACACAGATTTTTGGTGGAATTACACAGGGCAGGGGAGAGAGCTGCATGTGCTGTGTGCACCTTCAAATCAAGAACTCCTGCATGAAAAATCTGCCTGGAGATGGCTCTAATTTGTTCCAAACCATCATCCCTTCCATCAGCAGGCAGGGAATTGTGATTTATTTATGTCTTACACTGCCATTGAATCAAATGGCACCTGGAAGATGTTGAGGATGACAGAGCTCAGAGCCAGCACAGCCCAGCACAGGGGCCTCACTGATTATTATTTCTCAGATCAAGTTTCACATTTCCATTAATAATTTGGGCAGAAATGTGGAGTTCTCACAGCACAGCTCAGCACACACCAAGCCCCCCAGGCCACAGGAAGCCCTGAAGGAAGCAGGGCTGAGCTCTGGCAGAGCCAAGGGAAGCAGAAATGCTTTTTCCCTGCCAGGCTGCACTTACCCAGCCCTGGAGAAACAGCCACATGCTTGTTCCCTGTGCAGCTTTCTCTTTCCTAAGGGAAACTTCTTTTGGAAGAGCTTTGGTCTTAAAAATTGCAACTGGAGCTTTTAAATTAGTGTTGATTTAAAAGAATTCCCTAGGTCAGCTAAAAATACTAGTTAATTTTGTTTTCATTTTTTAAAGCAGAATCTCAACTTACACATCCAAAAGCACATCCATTTTTTATTTACAGCTCAACTAATTGATACCTTTAATTAATTAATATGTGCACAGCAGAGCAAGGCAGGTGTAGGTGTAGCTGAGTGGGATATGTGATTGCCACCTGCAGTTAGGACTCAGAATCTGCTGAAACCTCTCAAAGAGAGTTTTCCAAATCCATGGTATAGACATGAGGTCTTCCATACAATAAAATGCTTGTTCTCCTCTCCAAAGGAAATTCATGTATAAATGCTGTTCTATAAGCTTTGCCACACCCTGCACCAAAGAGCTCTGACTGCAGTTTATCTCCATTTTAACCATGCTGCAGGCCTGGTTTTGCCAAAAGTAGAACTTTTCAAATATACAAAAGGTTCCAAAGTCTCAACATCCCTGTTTAAAGCCCCATAAAGAGGCTTAAATCAAGGACAAAGAGGCATCTTTGGAAAGGACAGTGCAGCAGCTTCCAAAGAAACAGGTTTCTTTCTAGAAAAAGAAAATTCTAGACAAAGTTAGAGAGAAGCAGAGTTATTTACTCTGAACATGGCCCTTAACATGCCAATCATCAGGCTTTCTGCCCACTTGCTAATCTGCAAGCCCAAGAGAAGTGTCATGGTTTTGACCTTAAAGGAAATTTTCAACTGATTTTATTTCTCTCCAAAGTTCTATTTATTTTTCTTCCATTACATATCATAGGTAAAATAACTAGTTTTTAGCATCCATTCTGTATATCAATAAAAGGAATATACAAATTAAAACAAGAACTACAGAGGGATAGAGGGATGTCTTGCTCACTGACTTCCATCTTGGGGCATTTTTGCCTCGTTGCAAGCCTGTGTGAGACAAACCTGAAAGGAAAGAGAAATCCATCAGTACTCAGACACTGGTCCAGCCCACAAGCACCTGCAGCTCCAGCCTAAAGCACAACTCTGTTTTTCAGACTGACAACAGCTCTTTTCCCCACTGTGCTATGAGCCTGATGTGATGTAAAGCTCCTGCTTCTCCCTTCCCTGCTCCATGCTGCTTCTTCACCTCAGCCAAAATTCAAGAGAAGGGGCCAGGGGAAATAAGGAGTTTCTATTGCAGCTCAAGAGTCCCCTGAGAGGTGACAGAGGGACAGCAGTGCCTTACAGCCATGGCTGACAAAACCACCCAGACTTACTGACAGCTTCTGCATGAGCCCTTGGGCCTTGGGGTTCAGCTGAAGAAAATTCTTCTTGGTCAGATCCTTTTCTGTCAAACGTATGCTCTGTGAAAACAAACACAAAGCTCAGGTTTTCTGTCTGGCCAGCTGCAGCAATTGGACACAGTAAAAAAGTTAAATAAAATAAAAGAGACTAAGATCTAAGTATAGACAGGCAGAGAACCACATTCAGCTGGAACAGCAGCTCATCTCACACCTCTCCTGCAGTGCATTAATGCATTACTGGCTGTGGTGGTTTTAACTAGCTTGATTTGTGGTGAGGGGAGATAAAGCCAAGGAGTGAATGATTTTTTTTGTGGGTGCACTGGCATGCAGCCAGCATCAAACCCACTAAAGCTGCAGTAGTGTAAGTGCTTTAAAGTGAATGCACAGTGAAACACCCTCCTGTTCTGTTTCAACCAGCTTGAGCAGGCCCCACTTCTGGCTAAGAACCCCTTCAGGTTTGTTTGAAGCTCAATCCACCCCTCGGATAAACTGCAGGGGCACAGCTAAAGTGACAAGAGTGGCTGAACCAAGGCAGGTGAGGCTCCAAGAGGTGCCTGGGCAGTGGAGGGTCAGGATTTACCTCTCCCCCACCGAGGGGCAGGGTGAGCACGACGTCCTCGGGCTCGGCCAGGGGGCTGCCCTTGGCAGAGAAGGTGTAAATGCGCTCGTTGATGGCGGGAGTGCGCAGCCCCGGCGTCTTGAACACCCTGCAACAAGAAACAGGAGGGAGTGATATTTGCTCACAGCACCTGCAGTCCAGTAGGAGCCTGAATGAGAGATGTGGGACTCCAGACAGCTCCTCAAAATGCAGTTTGTTCCATCCAAGAGTTACAGCAGTCCGGGGTTGTGGGCAACAGAGCCTGTGCCTACAGCTGTCAGCTCCAGCTGCACCCTTAGCTTGGGTCACAGTGCATTAAACACTTTTCTTTTGGCCACAGTGCATTACATACTTCTTTTCATTTGGTTACAAATGCATTTTACACTTTTCTTTTGGCCACAGTGCATTACATACTTCTTTTCATTTGGTTACAAATGCATTTTACACTTTTCTTTTGGCCACAGTGCATTACATACTTCTTTTCATTTGGTTACAAATGCATTTTACACTTTTCTTTTGGCCACAATGCATTACATACTTCTTTTCTTTTGGTTACATTGCATTATTATACTTTATTGAGCATCTTAATACATTAGAACCAATATATACCTGAACTTTTATCTATAGCCTATCATAACTACTGTAATTACCATATTCATGTTACTGTTCTCCAATCACTCAAAGTTAGTACATTACAGTTTAAGCTAGATGATGTTTTTCAGTTTTCTTGCAGTAAAAAATTGAGACTTTTTTTCTGCTTGCAACATTGGCAGGTTTGTTTGCCTGTGCTCTCTTTCTGCTTGGTAAGAACATCTTCAGTTTAAAGTGGGTTTATCCTTTGTTCTAAGTCATAAAAGCCCTTTCTAACTAACACACCCTTTGCCTCCTTGGTTATCCAGTGAGACTGGCTCAGCAATTCTTTTCCTCTATATCAAAACTTGCTATCATTTCTATTCCTTCTTCAAATTCTATATTCAAAAATCTTTCTGCTAAGCATACATAACTGTGAGACTTTCTTGTCAAACTTTTATCCTTCCCAACATAGTCCAAGTCTTTCATTTCAGGTCCAAAGAGCCACTGGAGGCTGTGCTGTAAACAGATGGTGTGGAGCAGACTGGAGCAGAGATAGAAGGGAAATGTATTTGTTTTCTCTGTTAACAAACCTGGGATCAAATCTGGGTGTAACCATGGAGGTGCCTCCCCGAGCACACATATCAACCATTCTGCCAGAAGCTGGGGTGATGAAGCTGTTCTTGCTTGATCTGTAAAGGGAAATAAACATCTGCACATACCACAACCTCTAACAAGTGTACAGGCACTTGTCAAAGGCTTGGAGAAGGTGACCACCACTAAACCCAGGGGTTATCACTAACCAGTGACCCCCACAACTGGGAATAGCTTTCATTCCCATCAATTTTGCCCTATAGTGAGGCACAACTCTCTCCCCTCCAACCAAAGAGAAATATTGATATTTGCACTCCCACTCTCTATTTCTAGAGAGGAGACACAGACATCCCCTTTACCTCTTGCTCATGCCCTTCACACTTGCTGAGGGGGGTCTTCTGGCCACGGGTGGTTTTTTGCTGGATGCCTTCACCTGCAGCACACATCACTCACCAGATCAGTTACTTCCATCTCGTGGGACAGCTGAGTCCACACAAAGAGGCTTCCACACAAAATGCTCAGCCCCTTTCCATGCACAAGAGCCCAGAACAAGCACCATTCAAGCCTTTGGGATCCTCCCCACTGCTGGAACTCTCTGGAAAGCACCAGCTGGGTGTAGTGTCCCTCAGAGCATCCTGGGCAGCCCCAGCCATCAGCTCAGCCAGGAATTCCTGTCCTGAGGATAATGTCACCCCAGAGAACAGCTATTCACTCACCTTGGCAGTCCTTGCATCCCCACCCTCAGCCTCTGTGGAACACTGGCTGGCAAGCCGAGATCTCTTCTGCCGTGGAAGTGATGGAGGCTCTGCTTCCTCATCAGCTTCAACACTCCTTTTGATCTTACTCACTAGAAAGAGAAAGTGTTACCCAACTGAATAATAACTTTAAATTGTTGCTTAGCAGGGAAGGCAAACAGCTACCAGCAGTTTTGGCAACAATTTGCTTCAGAAATCCAAATTCCAAAGCAATCCTAATGGTTCCCAGAGCATTACTTTGGATTATTTTGAATGTTTCAATGAAATTAATTAGAGATACTGTAGGTACTCGGCATAAAAGTAGGATTATTATCCTGGTTTAAACATACTGAGGGATGTCAGCAAGAACTGAATTATTATTCACAGTAAGTAACCACAACATGCTTCCACCTCACCAGTGATGCCACAATGTTTAAACTCACCTTTCTCAGCAACATCCAACAGGGGATCAATGATGTCTGCGCTCAGCCTGCGGATTTTTGTTATTTCCATGTCTGCCTAAAATTAAAAACACTTGTGGCACCATTGGGATTGTTGTCAGCCCAATGTAAGTCAAAGTCATAGAGCAAACCCCCAATAATTTTACAGCCTGATGAGCTCCATGTTTGCTGTTGTGCTTGCTCAAACTGGGCCCTTTCATGCATCTCTGCCTCCCTCAGGACTCTGTGCCTGGTTTGCAGCTGCAGGTGTGCTGTGCCTACACCCAGCTGCTCAACCAGCTTGGAAATGCTGGCCTTTACTGCAAAGTGCATGTGCTCTCAGGGATTCAGGAGTGCTACCTAGCAGGTGAGGAAAGATCAACAGGGAGGAGCAGCACCAAGTAAATCCCACCTCTGATACAATGGGCCTCTCTTATTGTTAAGTTTTAAAGAAACATTTGTGAAAATATTGATGTAACTGTTTCTCTTGTAATGCTCCGGTGTGAGGAGCAGAGTGGGATAGCTCCAGAGAGCTTTATGTTCCTTCTGGAAACCTACCTTAGCCACATCCTCCGGCGTGTTTTCACCTCTTGCTAGAGCTAAAAAGAAAACGTATCAGATACATCAGGACGTGTCAGGGGACACTCACACAGCACAGCAGGGCTGTTACCGTGGGGGTGAAAAACCCAGCACAAACCAGACAACAGAAGCAGTGGAGTAGTGGGGTCATTCCCTGGGGATTGCAGGCAGGGTAGATCCCAGCCCCTCCCTTACACCCGTTCGTTATTATCCGCGGCGGAAGGAGTCCCTAAGCCCAGCAGCCCCGGCCCCGCTCCGCACCGAAGAACTCCAGCCAGTTCATCTCGCGGATGGCGGCCGGCAGCCGCAGGATGGCCATGTCGTACATGTGCTCCACTTCTTGCACCATGCGCTCCCCGTCCGCCTCGATCCGCTTCAGCCGCCGCTCCACTGCGGGGAGACGAAGCATTAACGCTGCCCACGGGCCCAGGGCCTCTCTCCTCTCCTCTCCTCTCCTCTCCTCTCCTCGATCCCCTCCTCCTCCCTGCCCTACCTTCTCTGTCGAAGTCTTGGAGGAACGCCTCCATTTTGCGGCGGCGGGCGCTGGAGCTGCCCTTTTTCTTGGCGGGGGGCATTTGTGGTTCTGTGGTTCTCTCCTCAGGGGTTCTTATTGCGGGTTACTTATCGCAGGATCTCTCCACTGCGGGTTCTTATTGCGGGTTACCTTATTGCGGGCTTTTTATTGCGAGTTCTCCCCTCAGTGGTTCCTGCCGGGCGGGCTCGCTGAGCGCTTCCTCAGCGCTCGCTCCTTTAAACGCAACCGCCACCCCGGCTGGCCAATGGCGGCGCGGCGCGGGCTGATGACGCGCGGCAGAAGCGCCGGGCAGTGACGGCCATGATGGCAGCGGTGATGGCGGCGCCCGTGGCCGCGCTCCGGGCCTGGTCGGAGGCGGCGGCGCGGGCGGAGGCGGCGGCGCAGGCGGCTCTGGCAGCCACGGCCCCGCTGCTGGGCTCGCTAGCCGCGCTGGCGGCGCAGATGCGGGCGGCGCGGCGGCTGCCGTGGGACGCGACGGCGCTGGGCGCCTTCCCGGAGCTGCGGGCGCGGCTGTGGCAGAAGCAGCGCGGTGCGGCTGAGGCGCTGCTTGAGCAGCTCGGCCAGCGGCGGTGAGGAGGCGGCCGGGGCCGGGCGGGCAGGGCCGCCAGGGCTCGGCTGACCCCGCTGTGCTGGCAGGGAGGAGCTGCGGGACGTGCGGGACGCCGTGGGGGCCGCCGGCAGCGCCGTGCTGCGGCTCGTGGAGGAGCGGGGCCCGGCCGAGCTGGGGCTGGCCGCGGTTCTGAGGCGAGGGCCGCGCTGCCCCTCGCTGGCCGATGTGCTGGAGGGGCTGCAGGATGTGGAACGCTACTACCGGCACCTGTATCCATCCTGCTGGGGGTCTCTGGGCGGTATTGGGGGGGCTCTTTTGTCCTTGTTGTCCTTATCAGGCACGAAGGTACTTGGAGAGCAAACTGCTCCTGCAGCGCCTCAGCTTGGACAGCCTGGCAGACGTGGAAGCCCTGCCGCAGTCCTGGGAGAGGATTTTGGAGCGTTACAAAGAAGATGATGTTGTTCAAGGTAGTTCTTTGTGGAAAAAGCCGAGGGGTGTTGCCCAGGGCTCCGGACTGATGCCCCCTGGGGACAGGCCTGGCTCTGCTGGTCTCTGCAGCAGTGGGTGACCCTGCTCTGAGATCTGGGTCAGCCTCAGGGGAAAATACTCACCATCACACCTGGGCACAGCTGGAAGCAGCATCCTCACAGTGTGGCAGGGGCTCAGTGCTCATCAGTTCTACCCACGCTTTTTTTTACTGCCTTTAGGACAAGTTTTTGGGAGTACAGAATACAGGTAAAGCACATTGCAGCTGACAGGGTTGTTGTTTTCTCTCTGTCTCAGATACACTCCTGAAGGTCTCACTGTTTGTGGAGAACCATCATGAGGTGAGCTGCTCACCTGGCTCCTGACAGGGCAGCAGGGACTGGCACTGCCCAGCTTCTGGCACGTTCTGTGATGCTGCAGAGGGGATGAGGAGCTGAGGGAGCTCTCCTGGTGCTTTTTGGAAGCTGAATGAGTTGAGTCTTGGCCTCAGCATGAAATGCTTGAACTGTACCATTTTCAAGTGGAAATGGCCTTGGTCTCTGAAGAAGAGGCTGAGCCAAAAAAGCCATGAAGATAGAAGGGAGTCACCTCCAGCTGTGGAACTTGTCCTTTCCTCCTTCTGCCGTGCCTGTTTCGTGTCATGGTAAAAATGTTGATACTTACCTGAGGTGCTGCAGATTTGTGAGTGTAATAGAGTCCTTCAGGCTGGTGCCATGAAAGATATTTGTCCTTACAAATAAAGAAAACATGTCAGATTAGGGTCTAGAAACAGTGCTCACCTCATGTCTTTGAGCAGTGTGTTCACATTCATCCCACCTGGGCATGGAGGAGGAAGGAAGCAAATCTGGCTTGAAAATGTCATTACAGAGGTGCACAAATGCCTGAGTTCTGACACAGGCAGCTTTTAAGGGTGAGGAGTACACTGCTCTGTTACCACTGAAATCAGTCTTAATATCACTGTGTGACAGTTCAGGGACACCTTTTGGTGGCCATGGCCAACAGAACTGATCCTCTGAGCATTCCCAGGAAGCAGTGGGGTGTTTGTCTCTCAGCTGTGTACTTGGTGAGGAGCTGCAGGGTGACATTTTCTGGGGTCCCCTGTGGCTGGAAAGAATGAATCTGATTCCATGTTCTTAGAAGGCTTATATTTTATATTATATTTTATATTATATTTTATATTATATTTTATATTATATTTTATATTATATTTTATATTATATTTTATATTATATTTTATATTATATTTTATATTATATTTTATATTATATTTTATATTTTTTATTATATATTATATTATATTATATATATTATATTATGCTATACTAAAGAATAGAGAAAGGATACTTACAGAAGCCTCAACAAAATATTAATTAAAAACCTGTGACTCTCTAGAGTCCCGACACAGCCAGACTGTGATTGGTCGTTAAGTAAAAACAATTCACATGTTGGATAAACAATCTCTAACCATATTCTAAAGCAGCAAAACACAAAAGAAGCAAATGAAATAATACTGTTTTCCTTTTTCTCTGAGGCTTCTCAGCGTCCCAGGAGAAAGAATCCTGGCAAAGAGATTTTTAAAAATTTACCAATAACACTGCAGCTTCTTGGAGAAAGCCAGTAAAGAATTGCATGGGACACGTTGTGGGCGTGGTGTTTGTGCTCACATTTCTGTGTCCCCGACCTGGGGTGTCCCTGTGGCCACCTGAGGGCACTGCATGACCCATGAACCCTGGAGGGGAGCAGATCAGGGTGCTGGGGATGCCAAGGGTGGGAAAGGGCTGGATAAGGGCTGGGCTGCCAGTGCTCCCATCAGGGACAGGGGATCACGAGTTCTAGCTGCAGTTCTTCACACACAGCTGTAATTGCAAAGGAAACCAGCTGCAATGGAAACCCTCTCCTGGTGCTGGGTGCCCTGCCTGTGGAATTCACATTCTCTGAACACGATTCCTTCACCCACAGTTTTCTCCTGGGAAGCTGAAAGGCAGTGAGAAACCTCAGAGAAAAGAAGAACAATTCTTATCTCGTTTGCTTCTCCTGTGTTGTGCTCATCTGGAATGAGTTCTCCTGTGTTTGGAGATTGTTTACCCACAGGTGATTGTTTCATTGGATTCTGCTGTGAGTTGTTTTCACTCTTTGGCCAGTCAGTGCCAAGCTGTGTCAGGACTCTGGAAAGAGTCAGGAGTTTTCATTATTATCTTTTTAGCATTCAGTGTCTTTTCTGTATTCTTTAATATAATATAGTATAATAAAGTAATAAATTAGCCTTCTGAGAACATGGAGTCAGATGAATTGTTCTTCCCTGCCATGGGACTCACTGTGCATTTCCAATACCCTGCCCAGGGTGGAGGTGAGCTGGGTTCTGCTCCTGGTGGGGGCTCACGTGGCTGTGCAGCCTTGGCTCCTTACACAGGGTTTGGAGCATGGCTGGTGGCTCAGGGTCAATCAGAGGTGTCATTCTTGCTCAGGCCTCGGTGTGCCATCCTCACAAACCAGGTGGTGAGCTTGGATGCAGAATTGTCCTTGCATGTGTGCATGCTGTACAGCCCTTCAACACCCCTCTTCTGTCAGCCTCTCTTCAGGACAGCTGCCCAGTGAACAAATGGATTTAAATTCTGGGAGATGTTCAGCACAGTTCAGTGGTGGCCCTCCTGCTTCTCCCAGATGTTTGGCCCCTGATGTCTGTCTTTGTGCTAACAAAGTGCTGAGGGAGCTTTCTGCATTGAAAGTGGCTGTGCCCTGACTCTGACTGACTGAAATGGGGTGAGTGAGGTGCTCATTGAAGTTTTGGTGTGATTAATTGCTCTGTGCTGTTCCTGGGCTGTGTCATCAGCCAGGATGAGCGCTCTGTGGGGTGTGAGTGAGTCTCTGCACTCTAATTGGGATCAGCTGTGGGCTTGTTCTGCTGCAGATCTGCATCTTCTGTCAGGATGGCTGCCAGAGACCCCACAGCTAAGCAGGACACGGTTCCTCATGTGTGCAGAGCTCCCTTCAGCCTGGGAGTCTCTGGGCTTTGAGGGCTCCCCCATGAGCAGAGCCAGGGTGGGCATTCAGCCTGTCAGTGTCACACGTGTCCTCAGGCAGCTGCACAGGCCACTCCTGCTCCTTGCTTGACAGCTGCAGGGCTGAGCCAGAGCCCTGCTCACAGCACAGGGATGTCTCTGGTGCCAGATTTCTGCACCTTCCTGACTACTGGGACAGGAGGGAGGTGAGTGAGAGCAGCAGCTGCTGGGGAGCCAAATGCAGGGTCAGGGTGATGCCTTTTCCTTGATCCTAAAATTAAGAGCCAGGCACAGTTAAGGGATAAAGGGGTTTTTTTTTCTTGGTATTTAATAAGGATCCTTATGGTGCAACACTTCATCAAGGTGGAGTATGCTGAAATGTACACCTGAGAGATTGTGTGTACAATTTTATAGATTTTGCAAATTAGTATATCTAATAAAGATGCTTCAATGAGAGGCTTGAATTAACAGTCTGACATTTTCTCATCTCAAAATATTCCCTCTTGGATGGGCTTAATCTTAGTTTATAAAATGTATTTTAGATGGGACCTTGGATTTTCAAGATAGTGTAGGGTTTTCCAGCTTTCATCTACAAGGCCTTTAGGATGTTTGATCTTCTAGCCTAACAGAATACCAGGACTATATTAAGTTTACCAGGATTATATTAAGCTATCAGACTTAAGGAATTACAAGTATGTGTTCTAAGAGCACTGAGAATATATAAAAGATAGAGAAAAGATCTATAAAAGATATAGAAAAGGCAAAAATTTATCTTGGCATCAAGGGGCTCCAGCCTGTGCTGTGTCTTAGTGAGGCTATGGGTAAGGCAGCATAAGGGCTTCTGAGACCAACTGGTAAAATATATGTAACCATAAAAATAAATCCAAGTACCTTTATTTTTGGAGTAGAGCTCTTAAAAGTATTCTTGCACGGAGATCTGTCTTTGAGGAATGCAATAAAATGCAGTTAGCAGCTGGAGCTACCTTGTTAAAGGAAAATTGTCAGGAAACACAAAGCTCACACTTTGATTTTCAGCTTTACCTCCTGCTAACTCCATTGGAAAACAGTTATTCTTCACTTACAGGAAAAGCACAAACTCAATTCAGCTATTAAATTCAAATGCCCACAAACATTTATAAGAGCACCTGACTCGTGTATGGTTGGGTTTTTTCCTCCTGTAGGGGTGGGCACTGGCTTCTGGTGCAGTGAGGCCTTTGCAGTTCTGCTTAGAAATGGGGACCTGCTCTTGGTAACACCAGATTTCCAAAACAAACCCAAAAGCTTTGCTTCAGCCTAAGCTCATGGATTTGAAGCAGATTTCAAAACTGAGTGTATTACAAGAGCCCACAGTTATGGACAAGACAAAGGATTTGGCACCTGAATTGAAGTGTAAAGTGGCTCAGAGGCAGAAATATGTGATAAAAAGCTTTGTGATTAATTTAATAAACCAACTATGGGCTTCACAAGTCCCTGTGGTTTTTGAGCTTATTCTTTGAGACTTTCATCTTGGCCTGAAGCAGAACTCCTCTGTGACTGTGCTGAGGGGCAAAGAAAATTGCCCCATACAGAAATACTAAGCATCTATTTAATTTCCCAAAAAAGCACCCTGAGATTGGGTTCCCCTCTGTCCCCCAGCATGCCACAGCTGCCTCTTCACTGGGGCTGCCATGGGATGGCTCCCTGTGTCACCATGATATTTTATAAAAAATCCTTTCCTTAGGATTTGTTCTCCTGAGAAGCTGAGAGGCCTCAGAAATGAAATGCAAACAATGGTTATCTGCTGCTGTGGAATGCAACAGGTGCATCTGGGATTGGTCTCATGTGGTTGTTTTTAATTAATGGCCAATCACAGCCCAGCTGGCTCAGACTCTCTGGTCAGTCACAAGATTTTATTATCATTCCTTTCTTTTCCTTTCAAGCCTTCTGATGAAATCCTTTCTTCTATTCTTTTTGTATAGTTTTAATATATCATTTTCTTTTAATATAATATATATCATAAAATAATAAATCAGCCCTCTGAAACATGGAGTCAAGGTTCTCATCTCTTCCCTCGTCCTGGGACCCCTGCAAGCACCACCACACTCCCTGTTCTCCCTGCTCCTTCTCTCCACAGCCCAGACAGTCTCGAGGCTGCCTGGGGAAAGCAGAATGAAGAACATCAAGCCAGTAAGTCTCCTAACCATTCTGCTATGTGAGGAATGAATCCAAGAGCCTTTGCACACTATTAATCTTTTCCAGTTCCTAAGAAAGCAAGCGATCTCCTCCCGCTCCCATAAATCCAACCTCGCTCTCCAGCTTCTCCCCTGGTGTTTGAACTGCTCGCCAAGAGCTTTATTAAAACCTACAAGATGCAGTTTTGTTCCTCACTGAATCCTAAACAACTGTGCTAGATGGAGAAGAAACATTTGGTGCTGTCAGCTTTAGAGCATTTTTGTGTGTAGTCCATGGCCACTTGTCAGCCTCAGCCCCACACTGAGCCCAACAGGACCTTTGCTCTGCTCCCCTGAGGTTGGGAGATAAATTCAAGCTGGCCAAACCTCACAGCCTCATGTCCCAAAGCACCTGGTGCATATGGGGGGCAGCAGGAGGGATGTTCCCCTGGCTCCAGAGTGCTCCTGTGCCCTCCTGTGCCAGATTCTGCAGCTTGCCAGTGGCCCTGGGGACACTGTGCTGGGCAGCTGCCACTCCCTGGCAGCTTTCCTGCCACCTCCTCTCCTGCCCTGAGTGGAGAGGCTTCTGCTACAAAACCCTGTGTCTGTCCCCTTGGCAT